CGCGTCAGTTTTTAGACCCTTCGTCCGCTTCACTCGCGCAATCGCTGGAAGGAATCTCCAAGAATCACCTCGGTTTGTCTTCGCTCCTTTTCTCCTTCTCTTCTTCTTTCAGCGACCTCAAAAACTGACTTTCTTTTGCGGCGAACTGGTCGTGGATTCTCGTCCGTCATCGCGACAAACTTTGTGAGGAAGCGACAGTTTGAAAAAGCCTCTAAGAACCGCTGCATAAACCACGTGATCCCCGCATCCCGACGAGTCAATTACACTAGAAACGTAGGGAGTTTGATTGACGACCTGACAGCCAATAGGTAAAGAGGCAGCCTCGTTTTCTATTGGCTGATGTTTATCTGGCCTCAACACGTCCACAGTTGATAAATTTTCATTCTTTTTTTTTTTTGGTCATCGTAATTACAAAGCTGCTGCGTCTCTGTAATGGTATTTTAAACTTTCATTGACAATTTGAAACAAAAAAAAAATCCTCCATACAACCTTTAATTGTATTTATTTATAGTATAGTAAATATTGTCTCTTCTTATTTTTTGTCTTGAATAAATGAAGTAATAAATAAACTCTGGTGGTTTGTGCAGGTGTGGATCTGATCGCCACGTTCTACGGCTGCCTGTACGCCGGCGTGGTCCCGGTCACCGTGAGGCCCCCGCACCCCCAGAACCTGGCCACCACCCTGCCCACGGTCAAGATGATCGTCCAGGTACGTCCTCGCCGGAGACTCACCGCGGGGACGCTTTAGACTCGAGTTTAGAGTTTAGTGTGTTTTTAGAGTTACTGTATTTTATGTTCAGATATTAAACGAACTCTGTGTAATCTGAGCTCTTACAATTAAACAAAATTACAACAATCACAACTGAACCTGAAGACAGAGACTCATCCTGCGTTTGTCTCCGTCTCAGTTTATGTTCAGGCCTCATGTGAAGCTCAGAACCTCCAGAATTCCCTCCCTGAGCTGCAGAGGCTGCACTAGCGCTGACTCATGCTGGTGCAGGTGCTGGGGTTGAGGAAGAGGCCGTTCAGATCAGAGAGACACGTTTTAAGTTTAAATTCACTGGATTTCAGCTTTGAACCTGGCAACACAAATGAGAGAGTCGTGTGAGGCTCATTCTGCTTCTGATTTCCCGTTTATGTGACTTCAGTGACTGCGATGCCGAAATTTTGCACCGCACACGGACTGAACCGGGATTGAGACCGGAACCAGACCGGGACTGAGACCGGGACTCCAAGCTTTGACTCCGAGCCTCTGCGGGGTCCAAGCCTCAACTTCGAAGCCCCGGCCCTGGTCCCGGTCTGGTCCCAGTCTCAGTCCCGGTCCGGTCCCGGTCAATCCGTGTATCATTCGTTCATTCGTTTTTCAATATAAAATAAAAAATAAGAAAACAAAATAACAACAGTTTTCTTCGTTATTTGTCTCCAAAACCAAAATTTAAAAAACAGATAATGATTCGTTTTTTCAGTTTTCGATTTTGTGATGGAAAAAAAAGGATAACGACCGTTTCCCGTTTACATGACTTCCGTGACTGCGATGCTGGACTTTTGCACCACGTACGGACTGAACCAGGACTGATCCGGGTCCGGGAGCAGACTGGAACCAGAACGGGACTGAGACTGGGACTACACCGGGACTGTGACCGGGACCAGGGCGGACTCCGAGCTTTGACTCCAAGCCTCCGCGGGCTCCAAGCCTCAACTTTGAGGTGGTCCCAGTCTCAGTCCCGGTCTGGTCCCGGTCCATTTTCCATTTTTCATTTTTCATTTAAACACCAAATTATAAACTGAAAAAATGAATAATTCTCTGTTTTTTCATTTTGGTTTTGGAGACAAATAATGAAGAAAATAGTTGTTTTTTTTTTCGTTTTCTTATTTTTGGTTTTATATTGAAAAACGAATGAACGAACGATACTTGGATTTGCCTCTGTCCGTTTCTTTATACAGTTAGTGTTTGTGAAGGGCGTGTGTGTGAGTTTCTGCGTCCGTGTGTCCTCAGGTCAGTAAGTCCGTGTGCATCCTGACCACACAAGCAATAATGAAGCTGCTGAAATCCAAAGAGGCGGCTGCAGCTGTGGACGTGAAGAGCTGGCCCCTGGTCATGGACACAGGTAACACGGGCCCCGGGGAACATCTGTCTTCTGTCATCAGTTAAAACACATGAAAGTCTTTCACCTTTCCTGACCTGCGTGAATCCTGTAGATCAGGAGAGTCAAACTCATTTTGTTCTCGGGGTCGTGTCCAACCGACTTTGATCCCAAAGTGTCCGGATCAGAAAACTCATGTCATATAAACCCCAAAAATAACAAGAAGTTCAAATATTTGTGCAGAGAAACACAAATCTATTATTTTTTTAATTGATGAACTCTTTCTTTTACAAAATATTATAATATTATGAACAACCTGAAACTTTAAGAAAAATACAATTTTAACACAAAGTTTTAACATGAACTTGTTTTACATTAACTTGTATAAACAGGAATAAGTCCATTTTTGTTGTAAAATCCTGCACTCGGCTCCACTTTTCTCATGTTGGACATTTTTCTGATGAGGGTGTCACGGTCAACAGTCAAAACGATCGTCCTTTAAGAGCGTTTGGAAAGAGACAAGTCTTCATTTGTGCTGCTCTGGTGGGAGGGGCCACGTACAGAGACGCTGGAGACGCTGCTGTGATAAACACCACAGAAAATTAACAACATTTTAATAAAAAATAGAATTAAAATATTTTAGTAGAAAATCAGCCGAGGGCCAGATTAAAGGTCTTGGAGGGCCGGATCTGGCCCCCGGGCCGTATGTTTGACACCTGTGCTGTAGATTCAGTGAGAAACGTTTTTGGTGCAGTTGGGGAGTGAACATGTTTCATTACAGCTGCTGTAGTCTCAACATCTCCAGTGTTTCAATCATTTATCTGCAGTGTACAGGTGGAGGTCACTAGATGGCGCCACCACGTAACGCAAAATAATTACAAAAGAAGAACCAAAAATGTAAAACTACAATGACAATGTCGCCCTCTACTGGAGAAACAGAGGATGACAACACTACTGCAGATAAATGCACTTAAACCAACAGAACTGCATCACAGTTTATAATAATACCACAGCAACAGATTCAACTAAAGCTGTACTCTGGAACTTTTCTTTTCTTTTTTGATGCTTTATTGTGTCAAAAGCCCTATTCACACAGGGTCTGTTTTTAGGAGGGAACAACATTATAACATGAGTTAAAGCTGAGTTAAAGTTGATTTTGCATAATTTAATTTATGATCTTTAAAGGTTGTATGAAAGATTTTTTTTTTTTTTTTTTAGTTTGAAATTGTCAATGAAAGTTCCAAATATCTGTATAGACCAGGGGTGGGCAAACTTTTTGACTCGTGGGCCACAAAGGATTCTAAAATTTGACGGAAGGGCCGGACCAGGAACAGATAGGTGAAGTTTTTTTGGTAATCCACCTCATAAGAGAAAAAAAATAACGGGGGATAATATAATATAGAAAATAAAATGTAGAAAACAAAAAAAGAAAATATGTAGAAAATATCCTATGTTATTGAAATATCTCATAATTGAAAATCATTACAACAAAATCTCTGTCTTTCAAGTCCTACGATATTTACGATTTATTGAAATGACTTTTAAAACACTGAAAATTATTATTACTATTATTCAACGTTGGCGGGCCAGATTAAAAAGATAGAAGGGCCGCATATGGCCCCCGAGCCGTAGTTTGCCCACCCCTGGTATAGATGCAGCAGCCTTGTAATTATGATGAGCAAAAAAAAGAAAAGAATGAAAATCCATAGATTGTGGACGTGGTAGACATCAGTCGATAGAAAACAACGCGACCTTGTTATCTGTTCAAACTCTCTGTTTCTAGTGGAACTGAGTCGCTCTGGGATTATGTGGTTTACATTTGCCTCTGACACATGATTCCACACACGCAAGACGCCGTTAACTCGACCAGCGCAGCGGTTCTGAGCGGCTTTTTCGAACTCGAGCTTCCTCAGAGTTCGCATAAAGTTTGTTGCGATGGGAGACGAGAATCTGACCAGTTCGCTGCAAAAGAAAGTTTTTGAGGTCACTGAAAGAAGAAGAGAAGGGGAAAAGGAGTGAAGTCAAACTAAGGTGATTCTTGGAGATTCCTTCCAGCGATGGCGCGACTGAAGCAGGCGAAGGGTCTAAAGACTGACGCGACGGTAGATAAATTACTTCTGGACAGGAAACTTCAACAGAGATTCATTTGGCGATTCGTTCGGCGATTCGTTCGGCGATTCGTTTGGTGTTTCTTTCAGCGATTCAGTATTCAGCGATTCGTTCGGCGATTCGTTCGGCGATTCGTTCGGCGATTCGTTCGGCGATTCGTTCGGCGATTCGTTCGGCGATTCGTTCAGCGATTCGTTCGGCAATTCGTTTGGTGTTTCTTTCAGCGATTCGTTCAGCGATTCGTTCAGCGATTCGTTCAGCGATTCGTTCGTTCGTTCGATTCGTTCGTTCGGCGATTCGTTCAGCGATTCGTTCAGCAATTCGTTTGGTGTTTCTTTCAGCGATTCAGTGTTCAGCGATTCGTTCAGCGATTCGTTCAGCAATTCGTTTGGTGTTTCTTTCAGCGATTCAGTGTTCAGCGATTCGTTCGGCGATTCGTTCGGCGATTCGTTCGGCGATTCGTTCGGCGATTCGTTCGGCGATTCGTTCGGCGATTCGTTCAGCGATTCGTTCAGCGATTCGTTCGGCGATTCGTTCGGCAATTCGTTTGGTGTTTCTTTCAGCGATTCAGTGTTCAGCGATTCGTTCAGCGATTCGTTCGGCGATTCGTTCGGCGATTCGTTCAGCGATTCGTTCAGCAATTCGTTCGGCAATTCGTTTGGTGTTTCTTTCAGCGATTCGTTCAGCGATTCGTTCAGCGATTCGTTCAGCGATTCGTTCAGCGATTCGTTCATTCGTTCAGCGATTCGTTCGGCGATTCTGACTGTAAACAAGCAGGATTTCTAGCATAAGGAGGAGATGGGAGGAGGTGTTTTTTCTTCGGGAGCTGTAGAGGAGGAGGGAGGTGTCATTTGTAGAGGAGGAGGGAGGTGTCATTTGTAGAGGAGGAGGGAGGAGTCATTTGTAGAGGAGGAGGGAGGTGTCATTTGTAGAGGAGGAGGGAGGTGTCGCTCATGTGTCATTTGAAAAAGGACAAAGAGTCGCTGTATTTCTCTTTCCGTGTTAAGTCCAGCTTAAAAAGTCCATGTAGGAAACAGCAGTGTCCAGTGTCGTTGCCGTTGTCACAGGTACAAATGAACCTCTCGTGTTTGTTCCAGACGACCTCCCCAGAAAGAAGTGTGTCCAGACCTACAAGCCGCCCACGCCGGAGATGTTGGCGTATCTGGACTTCAGCGTGTCCACCACGGGCATCCTGGCAGGGGTCAAAGTGCGTACCACACTGTACTACGACTACGACTACAACTACGACTACGACTACGACTACGACTACGACTACGACTACGACTACGACTACGACTACGACTATACACATAACACCTGTACTACGTCAGTGGTCCTCAACATTTTTAGCTCCACGGACGCAGAGCTCCACAGTTTTATGTCCGACTATATTTCTTTTTATTGCCGGTTTAGATCTGGTTTAGTCCTGGTTTAGTCCTGGTTTAGTCCTGATTTATCCTTAAGCTACATTGCACAAAATATCACCAAAACTGGCCAAAAGTTTGTGTATTTTGTGATGCATTTTTAATTTCTGTGTTGTTGTTTTTTTTTTTTTTTTTTCAATTAATTATAACTTGAAATAAACTAGTCCTGGTTTAGACCTAGTTTAGTCCTGGTTTAGTCCTGATTTAGTCCTGATTTAGTCCTGGTTCAGACATGGTTTAGTCCTGGTTTAGACCTGGTTTTAGATGTGGTTTTAGACCTGGTTTAGACTTGGTTTAGTCCTGGTTTAGACCTGGTTTTAAATGTGGTTTTAGACCTGGTTTTAGGCCTGGTTTTAGATGTGGTTTTAGACATGGTTTTAGACCTGGTTTAGACTTGGTTTAGTCCTGGTTTAGACCTGGTTTTAAATGTGGTTTTAGACCTGGTTTAGACTTGGTTTAGTCCTGGTTTAGACCTGGTTTTAAATGTGGTTTTAGACCTGGTTTAGACTTGGTTTAGTCCTGGTTTAGACCTGGTTTTAAACGTGGTTTTAGACCTGGTTTAAACTTGGTTTAGTCCTGGTTTAGACCTGGTTTTAAATGTGGTTTTAGACCTGGTTTAGATTTGGTTTAGTCCTGGTTTAGACCTGGTTTTAAATGTGGTTTTAGACCTGGTTTAGACTTGGTTTAGTCCTGGTTTAGACCTGGTTTTAAACGTGTTTTTAGACCTGGTTTAAACTTGATTTAGTCCTGCTTTCATGGCCTGGTACCGGTCCCCGTTCTGGGGGTTGGGGATCCTTGGGTTAGAACACACATCATGTCTGAGCTCTGGTGTTGACTCTGAGTCTCGTGTGGTGCAGATGTCTCACAGTGGCACCAGTGCCCTGTGCCGCTCCATAAAGCTTCAGTGTGAGCTGTACCCGTCCCGACAGATCGCCATCTGCCTGGACCCCTACTGCGGCCTGGGCTTCGCTCTCTGGTGCCTCTGCAGGTAATCCAATCCACTTTATTTATACAGCACATTTCACAAACAAACGGTTTCCAAAGTGCTGCACAAATACATATTAATAACAACAATGATAAAAAAAATATATGATAAAAGAAATGCTCAGATTTAATCATACAAGTCTTAAATTAATAAAACCAGTAAAATAAAATAAGCGCAAAAATCATAGAACAGCAATAAATAAATAAATAAAACCAATAAAATACATTAAAAATAAATAAAATAAATTAAAAACACAGAGGAGCACACAACTCACACTGTGTTAAAAGCCAGAGAATAAAAGTGGGTCTTAAGACGAGACTTAAAACTCCAGTGTTCCAGAGTTTGACGACAGAGAAGGTCCTGTACTCCCGGTTTTAAGTCTCGTCTTAGGTCCCACGAGGTGCAGCTGGACCTCAGACCTCAGAGCGCATGCAGGGGTGTAAATGTGGAGGTAACACACGCTCACTACCGGCAGCACGCCACAGCCACAGTCACATCAGAACGTCTCTAACAACAGCTCAAACACTAGCGCCTCGGTAGGATTTTACACTGTCTAAAGTGAACCGTACTGGGCCATTTCAGGGGCAATTAGTCGTGGTACCAGCTCCCAAACTGTAATATCGCTTTTCAACTCCAGGTTTACACACTGCTACGAGCCGATTGGACAAGAGAGAGCGCAGACTCAGACTCAGACATCAAAACGCGAAGGAAACCAAAGCCAGTGCACACGTTTGCACCAGCTGATTCCTGTTTATAGAATATATTTAATATGTGATGTGCACAGTGCATCTAACTGCAGCCAAACCCACTGTGTTACATAAAGAGACAATATAGTATTTTCCTGTTTACTCTAAAGCTAAAATATAATTGAGGTAGAGTGTATTTGCTAAGAAAGCCT